CACGTATTGCCCGCCACTGCCGTTGGTGCGACCGGCGGCGACGAGATTCGCAAGTATATTGCAGCAGCAGCGAAATCCCAGTCGCCACCGACGGCAACAATTTTGTTCAAGGGAACTCGGCTTGGAGTCAGGCCAGCGCCGGTTGTTGCTTCGTTTTCAGCTAGAGGTCCAAATCCAGAGTCTCCTGAAATCGTGAAGCCTGACGTGATTGCGCCTGGTTTGAACATTCTTGCTGCTTGGCCTGATAAAATTGGGCCCTCCGGAATTCCTACCGACAAGCGTACCACTGAGTTCAACATACTCTCCGGCACTTCAATGGCCTGTCCTCATGTCTCTGGCTTGGCTGCCCTGCTGAAGGCAGCACACCCAGGATGGAGTCCAGCAGCTATAAAATCGGCCCTAATGACCACAGCTTATACTTTGGACAACCGGGGTGACACAATGTTGGATGAATCTTCAGGCAATACTTCCACGGTCTTGGACTTTGGAGCTGGCCATGTTCATCCCCAAAAGGCGATGGACCCTGGTTTAGTCTATGACCTGAACACATATGACTATGTTGATTTCTTGTGTAATTCCAACTACACCACTAAGAATATCCAAGTAATCACCAGGAAGATTGCAGATTGTAGTGGCGCGAAAAGGGCTGGCCATTCTGGGAACTTGAATTACCCATCATTGTCTGTGGTGTTTCAGCAATATGGTAAGCATAAGATGTCTACACATTTCATAAGAACTGTGACCAACGTTGGGGACGCCAATTCTAGCTACAAGGTAATAATAAAGCCACCAAGTGGGATTTCAGTGACAGTGGAGCCAGAAAAGCTGGTGTTTAGAAGGGTTGGGCAAAAATTGAGCTTCTTGGTTAGGGTCCACGCAGTGGCTGTTAGGCTCTCCCCTGGAAGTTCTAGCATGAAGAGTGGTTCTATAGTTTGGACTGATGGAAAGCACGTGGTCACGAGTCCTTTGGTCGTCACCATGCAGCAACCTCTGCAGTAGGATCCCCATAATTTTGCTTCCCAACTACCTAAGGTTTCCTCTGTATGTACAATGGAAATGCTTTTCCTCTCTCTTTCTTTTAATATTTTTTTTTCTAAGTTTTCAATATCAGAAAACTGGTGGGGTTTGGTTTGTGACACAAAGAGAAGGATGATGAGTATCTTTGGTTGTAAGACTATGGAGAATGTTTGTAAAATAGTGTGCTTAGAAGAATAGGCCAGAGATGAATGCAAAAAGTCTTTTCTCCAGAATCATGTTGTTGCGGGTTGAAATTCGCTTCCATCTAAAAACTGCTTTAAAGAGTAATTATGCTTTTGGTAATGCAATTTTTTAGTCAAAAGAACACAGGCACACGTATGTTAAAAGCATTAACAGCCTGAAGCTACCAGCCTACCACAATGGGGACAGTCATTAAGACAGAAACACAAGTGGGGTTCCTTCTAAAGTTGAATGGCCTATCCCAATAACTCCATTGTTGTTTATTGTCTATTTGTAAGCTTGCAGTGCTCGAGCAAACACAATAATAATATATATCCAGAGTCTGTTTCTATAATAATAAATACAATATAAGATTGACGATACTTTTCATCAGTCAAACCATTTCACAAGTAAATTACGAATGGAGAGGCGAGAAAGCACAAACTGTTTGATTAAATTCCCATTTATTTCAAGTGTGAGAAGAAATACCTGGCGATTGTCCATTGGATTCAAATCGAAAATCACAAGCTCCCTATCAATCATCGGTGTTAAAAAGCTACAGAATCTCTACAATTTAAGAGCAGGAAGAGAGAGAGAAAACATAAGCTACCATCATTATACAGAACTGAACAGCATCGGAGAAAATGGAAAATGAGGGATCAATAATTAGGAGGAGAAAATCATAGTTACCTTTCCAGCTATTTGTTGATCGGAATGATCAGTTGTCGTTACGCTTTTACGAAGTGAATGGGAAATTATGAAATCAAATTAACAAGGAAACAAACCAGCAATCCAATCCAATTCCAGACCTTTTGCTTTATACCCGTGACCATAAGAAACGCGTTTTCATAATGATGTGCGTCCGATTCTTCGTATTCTGCGAATCAAAAAGTTTAGTCGTCGAAAACAAGAAGGAAACATTACCTCTTTCTGCACTCTGCAATCTGAAAGAAAACTGAAAATTGTTTCGGCCATTTTCGACTGAGCGAGATTTTCCCTCCATTTTCTTGCCCCTCCGGAACGTTCCCGGCAATTTTTGTTTTGGACCAGAGCGACCAATTCCACCGCTCGGCCCACTACGCCTAAATTATGGGCCTACGTTGGGCTGTCCCAAATAAATGGATGGGAACATTGGGAAGGGTTGCGGACAGCTCAATTCCATACAATTGTCTTTTTCTTCTAAAAGCTACGAAGGACAGTTTTACCCTCAAAGTTGTCATCATGCTCATTAGTCAATAAGAATTTTTGACGTGGACAAATCTTAAATCTTTTTTTCCTTTTTTAACATTTTTTAATATAACAAGGTGAGAAACTTACGATCTCTCGGTCAAATATTGACGCTAATTACCGTTAAGCTAAACTCATATTGACAACAAATCTTGAATATAAATTTTTTTAGTGAATTATAATGTATAAACTTGTTCCTTTTTCAAGCCTTAGATGATATAAAAATTTAATCAGTAGAATTAACGATGACAAATAAAATTTAAAATTTTATAGAAATTTAATCAGTTCAACTAATGACGACAAATAAATTTTAAAATTTTATAGAGATATTGTATATTTTTCTTTACATACGCACCCATATAAATTTAAATATCTCCTCGAAACTTTCTAAAGTACGGAGATTATTTTGAAATAGTTTGGAGAATGGAAATAAAAAAATGATGAATGAAAAACATTGAAAATGAAATATGAAGTTGAGGTATTGGAAATTGGGATTAGGATTAAGGTTGGAATTTGTAGGTGTTGTCATTCTTTTGCCATTGGGAGCCGTTTTCCATTTTTTTCTTTTTTTTTTTTCTTTTCCTTTCCTTTCCCAATGTTTTGTTATTTCCAAATATTCTCGTCCTGCTCCACCCGTCACACTCTACAATACAATTGCCCACAATTTTACAGCTATACTAAATATGTACTTGTTTTTTCTACTCCCTAAATTATGTCCATTTGTTTGTCTCCGATTTTTGAGTGATGTATTTTAAATAAATCTCATTGTTTGTGCATCATATCAATATGAATCTATTATTTAAAATTTTAGATGTTTAAAATCATATTTTTCGTCAGAATATAAATGGGTAATTAGATTGGGCTCTAGATATATAAATGGGTTGGGCTTTTAGAATCTAGTTCAAAGAGGAGGGGTTATTTTAGGAACTAGAAAAACTATTCTTTTTTTTTTTTTTTGAGTATTTCGAGTATTTCGATTTGTCTCAAATATGTGCCTAAGGTACCCCATCTTGATATCCTCGAGCACTAGAAAGAATGTTTTACAGTTTCTTGAGGCTAATCAAACAACGGCAGATAATTCGAAAATAAATGGCGAGTACCTAATCGAATTGATCGGGTCAAGTAGGAACAAGGTTCTAATGGATAGCAAAACATATTTGTTATATTTACCAATATAGCAACCATTTTTCTAGTTTTATAAGTATGGTAAAAAGTTTTCATTTTTTTAAATTTTAATTTTGCCCTCGTTATTTAAGAAAATTAAAAAAAAAATCAATATAATTTATTTTAGATATATCACTCAGATACTAGTGTCTTAGTATGAAGTATATTGTTAACATACTAAATTAGGTAAAATATTTATACATCTTTAGAAAAAAAAGTAAATAATTTATAATGACATATATATAAAATATTAAAGTATATTAGTGATGACAGTCACTATATTTTTTGGATTGAAAATTTAGGTTTAAAAGAACATTGTAATTTCTTATTCATGTAGCTATTATATGAGTGATGTACTTCATTTTAATATATCATTGACGTACCTTGAACTAAAAGGGGAGAAAAACCAATCTACTATGAAATATATAAATAATGCTCAATATATTAACGATATACTTCATCTTAGGCATATAATTAATATAGATATACTTCATTTAAGTATATTATTAATATAGTTGACATATCTAATATAGAATATGTCACTATTATACTTTATATACATATATCGTTAAGAGAGTTTTCTCATTTTTAAAAATTGTTGGTACAATTTACTTTTCATTTTTTTCATTCGAGCTAGTCTCGGTCTTTTCCTATATTTAAAGTTTCAAACTTTAGAAAAATGATTGATATATATTTATAACTAAATATTAATATTGTTGTTATATCTGCCACCGTGCCTTTACCACAATATATTTATGTTTTCATTTAGTTTAGGGCTAATAGTAGCGTCATTTTTAAGAACGGTTACTAAAAGTAAAATTATAATCGAATTATATATATATATATATATATATATATATTTATATATAAAATGATAATCAAAGTATTCATTTGATCATAAATACTTTCTTATTTGTTACTTAAAAATATGACTAATATATCAGAAGATAAAATAAATAAAATATTCATGAAAATTGTAATGATATACTAGTTCGGCGAATTAATTGGATTTTCCTTTTATATAACAATCAATTTGTATGCTTTTTAGTACATTTATATGGCTAAAGTTTTGTTCAATTTTTTCCAATATTGAGCAGAAAATGTATTGGGCTTCAACCAACTCCCGCTTTCGTAATTTCAGTTAATCAAATGGGCAACCGATTAGGCCGGTGGTTTGGTTTGGTTTTTTCCAGCAAGTTAAAAGAGTAACGAATACGAGAGCKGTGATGTTGCACCGTGCACGGAGGTTTTCAAGTAAAGCGTGACGTGACGTGATGTTATTCGACTGTGACCCACGGGGAGACAGTGTCGCTGTCACTCTATCCTGCAAGCCAGTCCAAAGCAAATGGGGAGACTGCGTGTACTACTAACTCGGGTGGTCCCCACATCCACGTCGGATGATGCATCCAGCCGACCTGATAACTCAACGTAGCCATCGTTTCAGTAACATCGCCAAGTTGTAATGTACCCAAATGTAGACGTAGTTTACCTACCAGAAATCAAAATAGGATAAATTTCAATAAAAATTAATCGAAATTGAAATGTTATTGTTACATAACATAAATTTTCTGAAATTAAAATCAGAATTTTTCTAATATTGTTGATTAAAACTGACTTAAATCGAATATATATCAATTACAGATATGCATTTTTTTCTTTCTAGTTAATTATAAATATATTATTGTGTTAATATTTTTTTAATTACAATAATAACAAAGTTTCATTTATTTGATTATTATCTGATAGTAAATAATTTGTATTATAACAATTTATTTAACATGAATAATAATGAATAGTTCAAATAACATAACATCGACTAAGATACTTTTTATTAGATTAACATAGACTAGTTAAAGCGAGCATAACTCAGCAGTAATTGACATATACCTCAAATTAACATAGACTAAGATACTTTTGATTAGATCAAATTTCTTGATACTAGTATATACATAATATCAATATTAGTAATTAAATATAAAAGTATTTATTTATTAATTTGAATATTCTTTACGATTTTTAAATTTCTCTAACTTTTATAAAAATATTCATCGACATTTATATATTATCGATATTTCCATAAAATTTAGACCTCGATATTTTCACCAACATCGACATTTAAAATTTGGATTATTTTTCATATAAAAGGGACGGTCAAAATAATTTGTAATATATCAAATCTTAAGTAGGTGGTCACTTTAGTTTTAACGCTTTTTTTTTAATCTTTTACCGTTTATATTCATATTTATTTACTAGTAGACCAATTTATAGTGATTTATTATGATGACTAATTAAATCTATTCATCCATTTCTGATATAGATAAGAAACAAGTGGTATAAATTTACCATAATTGAATAAGGATTTTCGAAGTAAATTATTGACCTTTATCTTTTTGGGGCTAATGAAATCATGTGTTTAAATGGACCCATACCAATATTATATGGAAGTAAATGAATTTGTACCAAACATAAACTACAATACCTGGAAAAAAAAAAAAATTGGCCACTGGGGGCAAAGTTGACAAATTCTCCAAAGTTGCTGATCGTTTCGAGAGAGAGAGAGAGAGAGAGAGAGAGAGAGAGAGAGAGAGAGAGAGAGAGAGAGAGAGAGAGAGAGAGAACCTTCGATAATATATCCACTTGCGCCACTTGGCTTTATTTTAAC